ATAATATTAATAATATTAATAATATTATTAATATTATTAATATTATTAATATTATTAATATTATTAATATTATTAATATTATTAATATTAATAATATTAATAATATTAATAATATTAATAATATTAATAATATTAATAATATTAATAATATTATTAATATTATTAATATTATTAATATTATTAATATTATTAATATTATTAATATTATTATTATTATTAATATTATTAATATTATTAATATTAATAATATTAATAATATTAATAATATTAATAATATTAATAATAATAATAATAATAATAATAATAATATTATTATTATTATTATTATTATTATTATTATTATTATTATTATTATTATTATTATTATTATTACTATTATTATTATTACTATTATTATTATTACTATTATTATTATTACTATTATTATTATTACTATTATTATTATTATTTTATTATTATTATTTTATTATTATCATTTTATTATTATCATTTTATTATTATCATTTTATTATTATCATTATCATTATCACTATCACTATCACTATCACTATCACTATCACTATCACTATCATTATCATTATCATTATCATTATGATAATCATGATAATAATAATAGCTAATGATGATGATGATAATGATGATCATGATCATGATAATGATGATGATGAAAATAATGATGATGATAATAATAATGATAATGATGATGATTAAAATGATTATGATAATTATGATGATGATGATGATGATGATGACAATGATGATGATGATGATGATGATGATGATGATGATGACAATGATGATGATGACAATGATGATGATAATGATGATGATGATAATGATGATGATGATGATGATGATGATAACTATAATAATAATAATATTAACATTAATAAGAATAATAACAATAATAACAATCATCATCATCATCATCATCATCATAATAATAATAACAATAATAACAATAATAATAACAATGATGTTAACAATAATGACAGAAACAATATTGATAATGATAATGATCCATCCAATACTGGTTTTACTGTTTCTAATCAATAAGAACAAACTATTATGCTTTTCAATACAATCATCACCTGTAATAAAAAACACACCATCATTGAACTAAACATGGAAATAGGACTAGGCTGTCCATTACATTAACTATACTAAATGTGAAACAAGTGATAAGGTGTTGATAATAAATGCAATGGCTCATTTTACATTTGTTAGATCTTAACTTAATTATCTAACTTGATCCTCGAACTCACTAGAACTGTTAGTCTACTTATGCAATGTTAAATATGTTATGCATCTAATTCCTCCATTCAACATAGCTGTAGTTAGAATGCCCACATCCAAGAACATGTCCTAAACAAGATCTGGAATTAGTCTTGCAACATCAAAACTTTGGATAGGAATCTATCTACAGAAGCACAGTACATGTAAATACCATTTGCCATTAGGTTTTATAAGTTGCTTTGTTTAGTATTTAGACTAGTGTTAACCCTTTCATCCTGGTGTCATGTGTGTGAAGACCTGCAGTATCAGTGACAGAATATTTTTCAACTGATAGTGTACACTAAGCTTAATGCTAAAAATGTATCCTGCTCCCAGTTTTGGCAAACTTCCATTTAAAGTTTTGCATTTTACAAATAAAAAGTAGCTCAGTAATCAACACCTGAGGAGTAAATCCTTGCAGAACCTTCAGTATTTAAGATCATCACAAATCGTTTTTTTTTTTTACTGAAAGATTTTCTATCAAATAAATTATCCGAAATAAAAGGATTTTTTAAATTATTTATGCACATAATGATTCATTACTAAAACTTTTCATCAGCTTTGAATAAAAAGCCCTTTTCTAATTATATCTGGAAAAGTTAAGTCAACTTAGCTTTCCCATTGATTTTCAAGTCTATTTAGATTTTTTACTTTTGCAAATTTGGTGAACACATTCTACTTTTTAGCTACAGTTTTAATGAGAAAACTTGCAGTATAAAATCATATTTAATATTTAAAATGTATGTTAAATTATATTCTACATAACATTATATATAAAAAGGTCTTCAAAAAGACCTTTTTATATGATTATAAAACAACAGGAACCAAAATCGAAAAAATTACCTCCATACATCTTGATATTGACAGAAGCCTTTGATGCAGAATCATTTTTAAAGGCAATGCGGGCACTCGGGTGAAAGAGAGTGAAGCAGCAGTGATGTGTCTTGCAGTCTAGCTTGCGGTATATCAACACCATTGGCACAGGCAAGTCCATGCACCTCCTCTTCATTCTTGCTCCTTTGAATACAATTTGGCAGGTCCTATCACCAGGGGATGCCTTGAATGGAAATGAGGCAGAGAAGTATTTTAACAACTGATAACAAACAAGAATTATTACATGTAGAAAAAAAACTAAAAAATAAATAATAATAATAATATCATGAACATCACATTTTTTGCTAATAAAAAAAACTAGAAAACTATGGTCTAACTTTTATACTTTCCATATCCTAAATTTTAAACATCACATTTCATTCAGTATGGTGCTTACAACATATCGAGTTTAAAGTTTGTGAACATAAATTTGAATATCGCACACTTCAAATCTGTGTCACTTGTAAACAAAGCAATTTTTAGCCTTTCCATTCCCCACCTTATGACATGTTGGAGGTTTCCATGCTATTCTCTCATTGTTTTCATTCACCGTGAAAATGTCGTAGGACACACGCCGGACTACCTCCCGTTCTATAGCTGGGCCAAGAGTAAGGGCTTTATACTTGGGTGCTTTTCTCTTCACTTTTGGTGGTGGCAAACTATTTACTACAATTGTGTTAGGCACTTGTGGAGTCAGCCCTGTGCCACTTCTGTTTGTTCCTTCAGATCCACATCTTTCTTGAATTTCAACAAGGTTCTCAACATAGGAGTTATTTGTCATGCCCATCGGCAATGAATATGATCCAAAATTGCTTGGCATAGTTTTCTGTTGTTCAGTTACTTCTGTACCATTGACTGCTGAAGTACCATCCTCTTTGCTAGCTATAAATTAAAATCAAAGATCAATTATGTGAACTACAAAAAATGCAATAAATATAACCAGAATAAAGAAATACATTGCTGAAATTCATCTGATTAAGTGGCAATTAATGGGCCATACCTTTTGCTCTTTTCTTCGCTCTAAACTTAGCAGCTGCCACTCGTCTTAGGAATTTTCTCCGCTCTGTTCTGTCTAACCCAACCAAATCTTCCTCTGAGTATCCTTTTTCCTTGAGACATACTGACTTCTTTAAATGCCTTCTGACATTACTCCCTTCATGAGACCTGTAACCACAGTGGCCACAGGCAAATAACACATCTCCAAAAACCTCCTTCCCCATTAGCATAACCTGAAATAGAAATAAAAGATAAGTACATCAAATGTATTCTAGTTTTCCATCCTCCTTCACTAAGTGACTGAGGTTGTTTCTGCCTCTTTCTATTTTTTTTTTCTTTTCTTTTCTTTTCTTTTCTTTTTTTCTTTTTTTATTTTTTTTCTTTTTTTTTTTTTCTTTTGCTACACTTTCTAAATAGATATTTATTACTAATTATTAGAGAATATTTCTTCCATCTAAAATATGAGGTAAAAATGACTTTACTGTTATTTTGTTATCAAAACACTATGTTTGCCTGCAAAGTTTAGGAGTTACTGCCTATACCACATTTAGTATCACTACAAGTCGAAGTCTCCCCATTTTATATTATTGAATCACATATTTCACATATTTCACAACTCATATGTCTAATCTCAAGACTCACCTTTCGTCCTCCTTTCTTCCTGATACCACGATTAGTAGATTCATGATTTCTAGTAAAAACTCTTAATAAAAATGGTTCCTCTTCTTTAATGGCATAGATTCTATGGTGGTTCAGGAAATCGGCTGTAAACCATTCTGATATCTGTAAAAGGAATAGTATATGTAAATGGAAAAACAAATCATATCATACTTATTTTTTGTACCAAAGAAAAATTGGAATGATTCATAAATAGCAACTAATCTGAAACAATTTGCCTTTCTAGACAGAAACTTACTTTTGATGGATTAGTCTTTTCAACCTCATTCTTGCACCCAATATACAAAAGGCCTGAAATTAAACAAAAATGTTTAAATTAACATTAAAGATGATGTAACCTTCTCCTGTGACAGAATGGACATAGCATTTGTCTAATAACATATTAACCCCTTGGTGCCGGGTGATGCCGATCCAATAACTCTGTTTACTTGACTCAACCTATGTAGTTCTTACCTTCATAAAGGTTTTATTTATATGAGTGTCATTGGTGTTGCTATAGTATAATAATACAGTAACTAAATATGAGAGAATGTATCAAAGTGTATATAAAATAAATGAATCAAATCTATAATGGACAGTGCATGACTATAATATAAATGAATGCATTATATGCATGTGTTTCCAAATGAATAATTAACATGTTAGTGTTGACCTACACTGGGTAATAAATGTTAGGAAAAAAATACAAATGCAACAGCCAATCACTCACCTCCAGCTTCTTTAAATCCCTCTATATTAATGATAAGCTTAACTTTATTTGTAAGATCATCATCGAAAGTTTTTGTAGAGTAGGCCTTTTCAGAACTGGCTGGATTGTCCCCATTTTCATTCTCTTTCTCCCCTTCTTCATCACTGACACTTTCAGAGTCAATCGTTAACGTATTTTCCGTTCCATTAATTTCCTTCTCATTTACTATCAAATACACATGGTGCTCGGAATTCACTTTGATTTGTAAAGGTTCTGGGGTGGGGATTACGGTTACGTCTGGGTTCTTCCCTTCCTCTGGGGGTTTCGGACACACTGCTTTACCCTCTGGATAAGACGGACTACCTGTCACTGCATCCTTAGTCCTATTTAGTTCTGCCATGTTTATAAAAACGGATAAAATAAATAAGGATTGGCCCACGGTTCCTACAAAACGAGAGGTGCCATGAATCCGCCCCGCGTCGTCTGCTCTTCTTTGTTTGTAAACATTGTTAGCCATCGCTCGATCGGAATTTCTAAGGAATCGCTTTTTCATTGCTTTTTTATTTATTTTATCTATTTATTTGTTTTGTGTTATTTATTTATTTATTTATTTTGTGTTATTTATTTATTTATTTGTTTTGTGTATTCATTTATTTATTTGTTTTGTGTATTCATTTATTTATTTGTTTTGTGTTATTTATTTATTTATTTGTTTTGTGTATTCATTTATTTATTTATTTTGTGTATTCATTTATTTATTTGTTTTATGTATTCATTTATTTATTTGTTTTGTGTATTCATTTATTTATTTTTTGTGTATTCATTTATTTATTTGTTTTGTGTATTAATTTATTCATTTGTTTTGTGTATTCATTTATTTATTTGTTTTGTGTATTCATTTATTTATTTGTTTTGTGTATTCATTTATTTATTTGTTTTGTGTATTTATTTATTTATTTGTTTTGTGTATTCATTTATTTATTTGTTTTGTGTATTCATTTATTTATTTGTTTTGTTTATTCATTTATTTGTTTGTTTTGTGTATTCATTTATTTGTTTGTTTTGTGCATTCATTTATTTATTTGTTTTGTGTATTCATTTATTTATTTGTTTTGTGTATTCATTTATTTATTTGTTTTGTGTATTCATTTAATTATTTGTTTTGTGTATTCATTTATTAATTTGTTTTGTGTATTCATTTTTTTTTTGTGTGTGTGTATTCATTTATTATTTGTTTTGTGTATTCATTTATTTATTTGTTTTGTGTATTCATTTATTTATTTGTTTTGTGTATTCATTTATTTATTTGTTTTGTGTATTCATTTATTTATTTGTTTTGTGTATTCATTTAATTATTTGTTTTGTGTATTCATTTATTTATTTGTTTTGTGTATTCATTTATTTATTTGTTTTGTGTATTCATTTAATTATTTGTTTTGTGTATTCATTTATTTATTTGTTTTCGTGTATTTGTGTATACGTTTGCTGGCCCAAAACGCTTTATTACTAAACGATACAAAAACTTTTATTTTGCTGGCCAACCTCTTCAGATAATTATCTTCAAGCAATATCTTCCTGCATATAAATTTTACTCGTAGCAACTTTTTTTTCTTTTTTTTAATCTATCCAATTCCTATGATTTCATCCATTTCTTTCTTCGCTTTCTGAGAGACACTTTAATTACCATTAATTTTCACTACAAATGTACATGTTATTTTCTTAATATCTCACTTCTTCGTTTTCGTCCCTGAAATATCTTTTGCTTATATTCGTGTTATTTCAAAAAGAGTCAAGTATGCATCCGCAAATATGATATAGATAAACACAACAAATAAATTCAAATTATATGACTTCCATTAAATTTATATTCCCCATCCCAAATAATAATAATAATGATAATGATAGTAATAATAATGATAATAATAATAATAGTAATAGTAGTAATAATAATAATAATGATAATAATAATAATAATAATAATAATAATAATAATAATAATAATAATAATAATAATAATAATAATAATAATAATAATGATAATGATAATAATAATAATGATAATAATTAGAATGATAATAATGATAATAACGATTATGCTACTACTACTACTACTACTACTACCACTACTACTACTACTATTACTACTACTACTACTACTACTACTACTAATAATAATAATGATGATGATAATAATAATAACGATCATACTACTACTACTACTACTACTACTACTACCACTACTACTACTACTACTACTACTACTACTACTACTAATAATAATAATAATAATAATAATAATAATAATAATAATGATGATAACAATAATAACGATCATAATACTACTACTACTACTACTACCACTACTACTACTACTACTACTACTACTAATAATAATAATAATAATAATGATAATAATAATGGTATTTAGAGAATGGAACTGAAGGGAAAGCGAGCCACTGGAGCTAAAACCGCAAGAGAGACCAAAGCAAGTGCCGCAGACGCCCTCGCTCGCCGTCATGAACCAAGCAGAGATCCGCAAGCTAATTCCTGCCCTCCGAGTGGCGATACAGCCCAGGCAAAGGAAATTCAGGAATCCCGATGGTCCCGAAGGCCGACTGAATAAAATGAGAGCCACGGTGACAGAGTTGGTAAAGAACGAGAGAATTGAACTGAATTATAATCGCGCGGATGAAGCTCGTGGATATACCGAGAGGGTGAGGCTTATTTCCTTTTTTTTTCATCTTTGTCTGATTTATTTCGTGGGGTTTTCCTATTTTATTAGTGTTTCAGGAGAGAAGAAAAGTCTTTTGTGTGGAGACTTCTTCGGTATATCATTTCTATACATTGTTTACTTTGTATTATGAGTGTTTGATAATTGTCCTCTGTAGTGTTTTTTTGGCTGTAGGATTTTATTTCTGATTTATTTCTGAATTAGTACGAGGTAAACAGATTATGGAGTTTTTAGTATTGTGCATTGTGAATTATTTTTCTTCGATACACATTAGTAGAACATTTTCCAATTTGTGCAGGGGATTATTCATGGTAATTCTTTACGGTACGGACGCACTCGCCAGAGACTAAGTCCCCAATTCCAGCCAACGATCTTGCGGGACACGTGGGGAACTGGGGGTTTGGGGGGGAGGGAGTAGCCTGTTTGATTTGAGTGCCAGTAAATGACCAAAGGAAATTATGAACGCAAATAAATTCGACTTTTCGGAAATGCGAGGCAAACTTTATCTTTACAAAGATCAAAGAAATGCAACTTCTCGAATATTCGAGCCATACTTCATATTTTCGATGAAAAAATGCGAGTATTTGAGTAACACGGTTAACGGCACAATATTTACTCCGCAGTCCAAGTGCCGTGACTGGGCATGCCCTTCGGGCACTGCCCGAGGGGAGGGTTGATGGGGGGCTCCGCCCCCCAACACCCCCCCGGCAAACATTCTCTTCACCTCGATATGCACAGCAAGATAGAGCCTGATACAGGCCTTCGTGTTTTACTTGTTTTACTAGTTTATTTATTTACTTAGCCAAGGGGGCACGGCTACCCTGGACCCCCACTCGTTTACTTTTACCGAAAAGGATATGCAGTTTAATCCCTTCCCCGACAATTTTTTTTGTTAAAAACGTTTCTTTTTCAGACTAATTTTTTTATTTTGGTTCTATATAGTATATTTGATGCTGGCTATGAAAACAGTTTGTAATAATTTTTTCTTCCCATTTTTGTGGTTAACTTTTTATTTTGAAAATACCTTTGTCGGCAAAAACGAGTCAACTCATCTTCCTATAAACCATATTTTTTTACCATATTTTCTTAATTTTTCTCAAAATTTTATTACCAAATGTAAAGAGAAATTATTAATTATAATATGCAGTAATTATAATATGCATAATAAATGAAATTCCTTTTTCCGGCATTTTATTATTACTCGAGGCTTCTCCAAGCTCTCCCCTCACCCCCCCCCCCCTCCTCCTACTCCTCCTCACTTGTCGAGAAATAGTCATTGTCCGATGAACTGGCAGAGTTATCAGAAGTATTCAAGCTTCTGAGGGAAGGTTCATATTCACTATCTTCCGTTGAACTAGACATTTGGGGTGCAACACTTGAAAATTCTACAAAAAAATGAATGCAAATGTGGATGCAAACAACGCCTATCAGACGACAATGGCGGCTGGAGCAAGTCTAGTAACAATGTCCTTGAAATCCCTCTGTCAGGCGTACGATTTGACGAGAATACTCGTTTCACACGTAGAATGGCTTACAAAGGCTTAAAATCGACAAGTATATACGTATGTAGCTGGTTTTTGAAGGTAAAGTTTTAGACGAGTATACTCGTCGACGACTGAAAAAAGAACATTTTGTGAAAACGTGTATACACGTTTCTGCCGGGGAAGGGGTTAAGAAAAAAACTTAAATGATATGACGACGTACCGTACTGCAGAGGGCACAAATTAGCAGCAGCAAGGAGGAAACATATGTCTTTGCTTTAAATCTGGGATGTTCATTAAAAACATCGCATATGCCAGATACACACTTTTTTCAGTTAATAAAAGTCAACGAGTTTGTAAAAAATTTTTTTTCAATTTTTCCACTAAATTTAGTGTGAAAGTCTAACACACCACCGTAGCACTGTTGACACACATCGGTCACTGTCACTGAGAAGAATGAGGCAGGTCACTGTAGTCTAGAAATGTGCAGGTGTTATTTGCATACTCGAAATAGCTTAAGCATTGACTGTATTGTTTGAGTAGTTAAGCAATTAAAATTTAAGCAATTAAAATAGGTTTAAGACAGTAAGCATGGAAACATTTTACGTAAAAACGGCTAAAATGCGAATATATATGAACAGTAAATATATGGCCGTGTATATTTACATAATAAAGTATATGGAGTATTTTACTAAAACTTTAATGAGCTCTGCTAAACTGCTGCCTCCTGATTGGTCGTGATGTCGTAGGTGCGCAGTACGAAAAGAACACGGTGTACGAGCTGCGCGGCAACTTATTCGTTCGCACTGAGCAAGTGGACTTAGCCGCTGGAGCACCGACTGGACTTTTTCCTTTATTTGTGGCGTTACCGTTCGTGTCTGCAGATTAGTTCCTGCGCCAACGACTGTAACTTTTTGTACTCTATAAGAATATCATCTTCAATTTGCCATAGCTTAGTGCATCCAAACCGTAAAGATTAACCTTATTCATTGCCAGAGATCCAGAAGCATATCAAGACAGCAATATAAGAACTTTTGATAAATTACACCTATAGTCCATCCAATTTCAGGAAAGGGAAATCTAGCAATTCACCATGATCTACAATTTCTATCATTCTAAATATTTTTATGACATCACTACCAACTTGGCAGCTTTTTCTAGCTGCCCCCAAAGGCCTAGATCTTGGTCCAGGAGATGGTCATTTTTCAGAAATAGTATGGGTAGTTATTTCATACAAAACCTGTTGTTGTAGTTGATTTCATTGTCTTTCG